AGAAGCTTAAGTGATTGAACGGAACTGGGAAAAACACACTCACAAGGCACGGGAACGAGCCGAGTCGTCGAATATGAAATGAGTTTTTGATTTGATTTTCCGAGTGCGTTCATGCAGACGGAAAGTGGCAGTGAAGTCTGCGTTCTCTCGTGAGGGATCCCAGAGCTTTTTAGGGCCCTGGATTCACTGAACATGGGTTTCATCTAAAATGGTTGAATGTGGGACAGAGCTCAGTCACGGCGGGTCAACTTCTCTCCGAGGGCTCTTTGAAAAGTGGTTAAATGGGACAAGGTTTTTCTTTTCTACAAGGAACAATGAATGAATGAATGAAGTTTATTTTGGTCACTTGTACAATTTTCCACAGCAGTAAATTCACAGCAGAAAGAAATGAGTAGGCTGAAGCTAGTGAAACTTTTTACAAGTGCAATTGCTGTAAGTGATAATGTATACAATAGGATTTACATAAGCAACTGTATCAACATCACAATTCTGAGTTCAAGTAGCCGTCTAGAATGATAATTTTAAACTTTTAGTTTTTTATCGGAAAAGTGACAGACATCAGTGCATCCATTCCAGAGATCAACCGATTTTTTCAACAGATAAACGGCATACTGAATGTAAAAAGTCTCTTCTTATAGGCTTAGAAGGTTCTTTTAATAAGACAGATCTCACAGATCCGTCAGACTGACCGCGCCCCCCGCATTGTGATCTCTGGAAAAGAGAATAGCGATTTAAATCAGGAAGCGGGGCGCACTGACCATCAACAGGGACGAGGGGGCTTTCATCTTGGCTCACACTTGGGACGGGTCACAGTAGCAGAGGTGGTGTAGCCTCAGGGTGGATTAGGATGGGTCACAGCTGCAGGGGTGGTGAAGCCTCTGGGTGGAGCAGGACAGATCAGAGGTGGAGTATCCGCTTGGTTCGGACCATTTTCTCTGCTCTAGTCCAAAGTAAAATGCTAAATGCTTTATTAGCATTTCACCTGATCCGCTTGGTTTGGACCATGAATCCTCTCCGCTCCGGTCTGGACCAGTGTAAAACCATTAACACTGTACTGCTGCAACATCTCAGGTAGATAAAAGCAATAAAAATACAAATTCAAAACCATAAAACAACAACTGTTTCAGAGCTACTTAGAACTTGCTGCCGTTTTTCAGCGCATTCAAAAGAAAAACAGCATGTCATGACATTGATTCTACATCTTTTCTTTACAATCTCATCTGTTCCTCTCCACTGATAATGACTGTCTCATGTGAACAGTTTCTGAAGTGGTTTTGACAGGACTCCATTTGTTTATAATCTTAAACATCAATATCAAAGAGTAAAGGTTGACAAAATGTATAGAATTGTATTATTTGGAGATGTGTAAACAGTACATTTGATGGCTCGTCATAAGCTGATAATGGAGAATTTTCATTATGGTACAGGTTTTTAGTAATAGGGACAAACCGGAGCACTTAGAGGAAACCTATGCAGACACACGCAGACAAAGAACATTCAAACTCCACCAGTGTCTTCGTACAGTGAGTAGGTGATGAATTGAAATCTCGAAAAGTCATATATTTGTATGCTGCCATTATTTATGCCTTGGGTGACTGTTTGTATCTTGTTTTCGGTAATGTACTGTGATTATGGAAAATTGTCTAGCACTGTCTTGTTTTTTGACCTGTTTTTCTATTTTAGCACTTGTATTGTTTAACTCCTTCACGGATAACAATATGACCTAACACAAGTTTTGAATGAGACCGTTTCCTGTATTTTAAAGGTTGACATTACCAGCTGTGAAGCAAAAGCACAAAAGCCAACGACTCTGGCCGGTGTTATATGAAGCCACCGTGGGACACATTGTTCGGTGCAGTGGCCTTTACCGAAATATCCAAGAACAACATTTATACAACATTAGCATTCACCGGCGCCTCATTCACACCAAACCAGGGGCGATCGATGCGCTACATCCAGCACATGCTAAGAGCCCATTAAGCTTCTGTGTTCGGTTTGACTTTTTCAACGCAATATATTTCTCTCCAGTCCATAAATAGAACCAAGGGATTTGGATTTATTGAATACCCGCACGGCTTGAACAAGTTGCGCAGACTGCCGCAATCGATGGGTGTGAGTCCAATCAGGCAGAGCTACGAGGTGAAAAGGGACAAAGGATAAAGAGAGATGGAATGGGACTAAAGCAAGTTTATTGAATGTTGTGCACTAAAGAATAGAGTAAGGATTTTATATTTTGTTTTGCTGTTTTGTCTTGTAAAAGGTGGTATAGTATAACAACAGTAAACTCAATCGATCAATCGACTTTTATTTTTACAGCGCCTTACCTACACAAGGCAACACAAAGCGCCTCACAACCCAGATCATATCAAGCAAATCCTAGACATTAAAATCTACATATACTTAAAAAATAACAAAAATACTGTGCTTTTCTTGCAACAGAGGTAGTCTCCATCTTGCTACATATAACTTGTAACCGTAAATACAAATAGTTCTTTAGCTTCTCTCTTGCAAAAGATAACATGTTTTCTGGTCAGAAGAAGAAGACTGCAGCTTGGGGTCTGATTTATAATAATAATAATACATCAAACTTATATAGCGCTTTCTTGGACACTCAAAGACGCTTCACATGGGGAGTAAAATACAATAATAAAAAGGGGTTTACGGAAAAGCTTGTTTGAAAAGATGGGTTTTGAGTACCGATTTAAAGTTTGATAGTGAGTCGGAGTTTCTAATGAGCAGTGGGAGTGAGTTCCAGAGGGTTGGGGCGGCAATGGCAAAAGCTCTGTCCCCCAAGGTCCGGCGGTTAGTGCGTGTGATGGGGGTAAGGAGGTTGGAATTGGCTGAGCGAAGGCGGCGGGTGGGTTGGTGCTGCTGTAGGAGCTCAGTAAGGTAGGGCGGGGCCAGGTTATGGAGGGACTTGTAGGTGAGGAGAAGGAGCTTGTAATGGATGCGGTATTGAACGGGGAGCCAGTGGAGCTGCTGGAGGACAGGGGTGATGTGTTCTCTGGACCGGGTGTGGGTGAGGAGGCGGGCTGCAGAGTTCTGGATGTATTGCAGTTTTTGGAGATGAGTGGTGGGAAGTCCGTAGAGGAGGCTATTGCAGTAGTCGAGTCTGGAGGTGATGAATGCGTGGATGAGGATTTCGGCTGTTGACTGGGTAAGGGAGGGGCGGAGGCGGGCAATGTTGCGGAGGTGGAAGAAGGAGGTTTTGGTGATGTGTTTGATGTGGGTTTGGTATGAAAGGGTGGAGTCCAATATGATGCCAAGGTTGCGTACAGAGGATGAGGGGGTGACAGTGTGAGGGTCAATGAGGAGGGTGAAGTTCTGGACAGAGGGCAGGAGAGTTTTGGGGCTAATGAGGAGTTCTGTTTTGTTACTGTTGAGTTTGAGAAGGTTATTGTCCATCCAGGTTTTAATGTCGGAGATGCAATTTTCGATGGTGGAGCGAATAACCGGGGTGATGGATTTGGTGGAGATGTAGAGTTGCGTGTCATCTGCATAACAGTGGAAATGGAGTCCATGATGGCGGATGATCTGACCGAGGGGAAGCATGTAGATGGTGAAGAGGAGAGGGCCGAGCACGGAACCTTGGGGGACACCGTGGGTGACGGGGGAAGTGTGGGACTTGCAGTTGTTGACAGACACGAAGTGGAGACGATTGGAGAGGTAAGAGGTGAACCAGAGGAGTGCTGTGCCAGAAATTCCAATGGATTGTAGACGGTGGAGGAGGATGGAATGATCTATTGTGTCAAATGCAGCGGAGAGATCGAGGAGAAGGTAAGTAAGTAAGTAATCTTTATTTATATACCGCCTTTTCACTGCACATCGGAGTCTCAAAGCGGTTTACATTTGTTATTTTTGGGAGTGGGGGTGCCAGTACAGGAGGCACATGCCAGACCTATTGTACATATTTTTAGTGGTAGGGGAAACCGGAGCACCCGGAGGAAACCTACGCAGACACGGGGAGAACATGCAAACTCCACTCAGAAAGGCCCTGGTCCAACCGGGATTTGAACCCAGGACCTTCTTGCTGAGAGGCGAGAGTGCTATCCACTCAGCCACCGTGCCGCCCAGAAGGAGGATGGATAAGGAACCAGAGTCGGCAGCGAGGAGGAGGTCGTTAGTAACTTTGAGAAGTGCTGTTTCTGTGCTGTGGTGTGTACGGAATCCAGATTGAAATGTTTCGAAGAGATGGGAGGAGTGGAGATGTTGGTGGATTTGGTTGATGACGGCGCGTTCCAGGATTTTTGACAGTAACGGGAGGTTGGAGATGGGTCGAAAGTTGTCCAAGTTGTCAGGGTTGAGGCCGGGTTTTTTCAGGAGGGGTGTGATGGAGGCTAGTTTGAGCGGGGAAGGGACAGAACCAGAGGTTAGGGAAGTGTTGATGATGCAGGTGATGAGAGGGATGAGAGTTAGTTGACAGGTTTTGAGGAGGGAAGATGGGATTGGATCAAGCTGGCAGTTGGAAAATTTCATGGTTGAAAGAAGTTTGGTGGTGTCAGAGGGAGAGAGGGGGGAGAAGGAAGGAAGGCTATGGACTGTGGGTGCAGTGGGTTCAAGTTCGGAGTAGGGAGAAGAGGAGGAAGTGGAGGCAAGTGAACAGTGTATGGTATGGATTTTGGTATGGTAGAATGACAGGTAGTTATTGCATTTGTCTGTAGTGAATGTGGAGGTTATATTGTCCTTGGGTTTTGTCAGATTTGCAAAAGTTGAGAATAGGGTGCGGGGGTTGGAAGAATTTGAGTGGATGAGTTGTGAATAGTAGTTGGACCGGGCAGTTTTGAGAGCAGAGTTGTATGTGGTTGTGGCTTGTTTGTAGGCTTGTGCATGAACGAGGAGACCAGTTTTTATATGGAGCCTTTCAAGTTGTCTCTTTTGTTTTTTGAGACTGTGGAGATCTGGGGTATACCAAGGGGCGGAGGTAGAGAAGGAGACTGAGGCAGTTTTCATGGGGGCAATTTGGTTGAGGCAGGAGGAGAGTGTGTGGTTATAGAACGTGACTAGATCGGAGGCAGATGGATCTGAAGGGAGGGAAGAGCTGGATAGGGCATGGGATATGGAGGAGGAGAGAGATATGGGACAAATGGACTTAAGATTTCGGAAAGTAATTGTTTGTGTCTGTTTGGTGGTGGGAGAGGGGGTAATTATGTCCAGGGTGATGGCCAGATGATCAGAAATGGTCAGGTCGGTGAGTGATAGGTTGTGTATGGTGAAGGAGGGGGTGGAACAGACCAGATCCAGGATGTGTCCATGGTTGTGTGTGGGTGAAGTGACGTGCTGGGTGAGGTTGAGACAGTTTAAAATGTCCAAAAAGTCAGATGTAAATTTAACTGTAGGGGAGTCAATATGAATGTTGAAGTCACCAAGGAGGAGAACGGATGGAGAAATGGAGGACAGCTGAGTTACGAAATCAGTAAAATCTGAGAGAAAAGATGAGCAGGTTTTGGGAGGGCGGTAGATGACTGCAGCAATGAGTGATTTGGAACCGGGAAGTCTGAAGGCCAGGTGTTCGAATGAAGATACAGCCGGGATGGAGATGGGGCGGAGGGAGATGTTGCTGCGGTGGATGACTGCAATGCCACCTCCTCTCCGGTCTAGGCGTGGGTTATCGATGTAGGAATATCCAGGTGGGGTGGTCTGATTTAATGTGGTGTAATTCATGGGTTTGTGCCAGGTTTCAGTGAGACAAAGTATGTCCAGTTTATTGTCAATGATGAATTCACAGAGGAGCAGGCTTTTATTGCTGAGTGACCGTGTATTGAATAGTGCTGTTTTTAGAGGCTTTTGTTGTGAAGTTTGTGTGGCAGAAATTGGGACAGACAGGAGGTTTGATGTAGTCACGTGATGAGTGCTCTGATGACGTATGCGGATGTTGTTGGAACCAAGCCGGTGTGAGCTGCGCATGGATCTGCAGGCGGACCAGACAGAGGGAATATTGCTTTTGCCTGTGAAATTGAAGACAAGATTGCGACGGGACCCTCGGTGGATGTAGGGGCGACGGCGGACAAGACAGTGTTGTTGCAGAGTTGAGGTGATGTCCAGTGAAGGAGGTGCGCGGTGGTTGAGTCTGATGAGCTGTGAGGACGTGTAACGAAGCGCCATGGACGGAGCCGGTGTTGACAGGAGCCGCAGAGAGGCCAGCAGGAAAGCCACGAACAGTAGCCGCATAGCTGGCTGGCTGCTCCGGGGTGCAGGCCGGCCAGTAACCGGGCTGTAATCCGCTGATTGAGAAGAGCACAGCGCGGCTTGGCCGGAGGCAGCCCCGGGAGCAAGCGTGATGGTGGGCACAGCAGGGACACACCGTGACAGGCTGTAGCAGGCGGCAGACGCGGGCAATCAGTCAAGGAAACAGTCCAGGCGCCGATGCATCAGACAAAAATCGGTACGTTAAACCGTTTACTTTTAGCAAAAACAAACTTTTTCGTCCGGAGTGAGAAGCGGCAGCAAAAACGCGCCCGCGTCCTCTCGCATCCGGGGACCGGAGATTTGTTTGACTGTTGCTAGTGTCACAAAGGGAATCGATTACTTTTGTTACTATTAAGTTACTATGCAAGAGAGTGATGATCCGGGACGTTTAAGGACATTTATATACAACAATAAAACAGGAGGGGAGGGGGAGCACCAACACGAGATCAATCAGAAAGTCCGTGCTCTGGGTTGCCAGAACTCACCGCGTCGAGCTAATCTCACTGGTAAAGTAACATGTGGCTGCAGAACTAAAACAAGGTCTTGTCATGATTCTCAAACCATTATTGGCGCCGGAAAGATGGCGCCGTGGCAAGACTTGCACAGTTTTTCCAATGTGGTTTACTGCAAATGGCAAATAAATGAATCTGAATCTGAATCTGAGTCAGGGAGAGTGGGAGAGGCTGCAGTACCACTTTTGTCCAGACTTTTACATACTGCTCCTTTAACAAAACTGTTGAAATCCCAAAAAAAAAAAAAAACACACACAAACAATACAGACCACATATGTATTGTTCCATAAGGGGAGTTAACCAATGTCCATGAATGTTGATAAATATCATAAAGGTTGTTGAATGTTGACTGTCCTGGATCATCACCACAGTCTTTTTAGTTAGACCCTTGAACAGTGTGACAGACCCAACTGCATCGGCAAAGAAAAACTCTAAAACCCAGCGGGAGAAAGTGAGAAACCTCGGGGAAAACCATATTGAGCGAGTGATCAAGCTACAAAACGAGGACCAAGGCCACACGGTGCGGGACTCAGATTTATGGTATTCTTAACACCATCTTTATGGGTTTGAATTATTCTCCATTACTTGTTATATTTGCGTTAATTGGGGGCCCCTCTAGTGTATTTGGTCCATTTAGGTAATACCATAGAAGTGTACATACTGTGCCCTGGTCTCCTCACACTGATCGAGTCACCCACACCTTGTTTTGGTTCCTGGGAATGATATTTTCAATGCTCAGGGGCGGACAGAACTATTTTTGTGACAGCGAGGCCCCAAAGTATTGTCCAGAAAAATACACACACAATAAAACTGTCCATACATTACATGACTTGTTATTTCAAGACATTTCAGAATTGGAAACTTTTTTGAGTTATGAGAAATTCCAAATATTCTCAGTCTGGCTTATGACATACCAAATTACAAAATACCTAATACCTAATGTACAAGGCCATAATGAATAAAGAGGAAGAATTTAAAGCTCATAAAGAACTAAAACTGTCTGTATGGCTCTATTCAAGAGTTTCAACAATTTTCACACTTTAAATTCCTGCTTCACTTTTACTTTAATTGACTTCACGTAACTTTCAAACCACAAATATATATTGCTAAAGTTTAAGACTTCTCTACATGTGATGCTTAAGATAGAGGTGACAGTGTCTCAGTTGTTAGAGCATTGGCCTTTGAGCCCGAAGGTTGTGGGTTCAAGCCATAGACTGTAAATATTAACGGACGTAGTCACGCCTATCTCCGCCGTTCAAACTAATGGGCCAAAAATGTGCTCTACTGGAGCTATCCAAAATGGCCGCGAGTGGTCCGATCTGTGCATGCGTCAGCCGGCGAGGGCCCCATTCATTTAAACGAGTGCCCTCAAAAATTCACAGCGAGTAAACTAGAGTGGTCCAAAAAAATTCCCCCCCCCTCAGCATTGACACACATGTGGAACGGAGCTTTGGGCCAAGAGCCAACTTTTGGACAATCCTGTAAAGACATTTTTGAGAAGTCAGCTATTGCTATATGTTAGCATTGGCTAATTCTTATTCCAGGTCCACCCCCATCGGCCCGGGGTGGTATTGCAAGCATGTCAGCGCACATGGACCCGCCCTCAATGGTTCGAGCCCACCATGAGATCTTCTCCACTGGCTCCGACTGATGTGTGCTGTCGTTGTGTCCTTGGGCAAGACACTTAACCCACTTTGCCTATAAGGGGCGAGGAAGTGATGTGTATGTGTATGTGTGTGTATGTATCAAACTGAAATTTCCCCATTGTGGGACGAATAAAGGACCTTCTTCTTTACTGCTTCTATTTATGCTAGAGTTAGACATTTCATTGTATGGAGGTATTTTTATTGCATTCTAGTATAGAGTTATTCATTTATCTTGTGCTCCTCATTCCTACTCTTCTGTAACTTGTGATGCAACACTGAAATTTCCCCACTGTGGGACGAACTAATGGCTCTGTCTCTTCCAATCCACTCCACTTTATTCATATAGCACATTTCGTAAAGACAGTTTCCAAAGTGCTGCACTATAAAAGACTAGTCAAAACAAATCCATTGTCAAACCGTGAAACCATTAAAAATCAATCTATCAATAGTTTTTTCAGACAGAAATATTAAAAAAGGACCACCCTCGGTCAAATCTCAGCTCAAGAAAGTCAATTAGTGACAGACAGGGCTATTTTGTATTAGGATACAGACAACATGCTTTATGATGAGATGAACCAGACCCAAAAAATAGATTAAGGGGAAGAAAATGGATGGATAGATGGATGGTGTTGATATAATGGTTGCTTAGGCATGCTGGAGTTTCCATGACGATAAATAAATCTGATTGGTCGCTCCTTACATGGCTGGACTTACAAAGAAAATAGCAAAATATAAATTCTAGCATCACAAAGACCACTACACCACAATGTCTTTTATTGCGTAAAACGGTGAGCGAAACCAAACAGTTACTGAGCCGGAGGAGTTAATGTAAGTCAAAAGGAGCCAGAGTAAAACTTTATCCATGAGCGCTTCCCTGTTGGGCGTCATTGAGCTCGCTGGTTTGCCCTCTCCATGTCTCTACGATCTCTGGTCAGGAACGTGCCTTTGTCTCGTGACCCTGAAGGCTTCGTGTGTCTTTCCTTACAGATGCTACTTGTGAGTTATCGATTTGCACGTGGCGTCTTTGATAATGGATGAGACAGGAGAGAGGTTTTTTCTGACGCAACACGAGCAGACGGTGCTGGAGTTTCAAACATGTCCGCTCTCCTCCTCGCTCCGACCTTCTCCCAACCGTTTAAGACGCTGTGATGGACAAAGATAGGAAGTACAGGGAAAGCTTTTGTAACACGTGTTGGGATAGAGATAGAGAGAGAGAGCCCGAGAGAGACAGAGAGAGAGAGAGACAGAGAGAGAGAGACAGAGAGAGACAGGGAGAGGACAGAGAGAGAGAGAGACAGAGAGAGAGAGACAGAGAGAGACAGAGAGAGACAGGGAGAGGACAGAGAGAGAGAGAGACAGAGAGAGACAGAGAGAGACAGGGAGAGGACAGAGAGAGAGAGAGAGAGACAGAGAGAGACAGGGAGAGGACAGAGAGAGAGAGAGAGAGAGACAGAGAGAAAGAGACAGAGAGAGACAGAGACAGAGAGACAGAGAGAGGACAGAGAGAGAGAGACAGACAGAGAGAGGACAGAGATATAAAGAGAGACAGAGAGAAAGACACAGAGAGAGACAGAGAGGACAGAGATAGACAGAGAGAGACTGAGACAGAGAGAGAGAGACACAGACAGAGAGAGACAGAGAGAGAGAGAGACAGAGAGGGAGAGAGAGAGACAGACAGAGAGAGAGACAGACAGAGAGAGAGAGAGACAGAGAGAGAGACAGAGAAAGAGAACTGGAGGCACTACTTTCTTGTATAAGAGACCACACTATACTTGTTATACACACATAAAACATACATACGTAAACATAGAAAAAGGCTTTTGTATATGCTGCTGACTGGAAATGAACTGAACTTATTTCACAGACTTAAAAGCAAGCACAGATTGAGAGCACTTGAGACGTCCTCCTTGACATTAGCTGTTTGTATAATCTGTAATCGTTTGTAACTGTGTCTATCTTTTGTCCAGGACTACTTTGAAAAAGAGGTTCTTCATCTCCTTTCCCTGTTAAATAAAGGCTGAATTAAAAACCTATTTTGCATATTTGTGGTCCAAAGAAAGAATAAAGAAAGATCTGACGAAGGCTAAGGCCGAATCCTCATCAAACAAATGAGACAAATATTTTTGAGCGTGCAATGTTTTTGAAATCTCTCATCAAAGAGTTCAAAGTGAAGACCCACAACACGATTCTTCACAAAACTGTGGTTCTTAAAAGTTTTTGTTTGTGAGCGCGCAGTGGCATTCTGTATGCGCCATAGTGTTCTATATTTTATGTGTTTGAACAGTTTGATTTTCTAATCAAGGCGGCACGGTGGCTGAGTGGATAGCACTCTTGCCTCTCAGCAAGAAGGTCCTGGGTTCGAATCCCGGTCGGACCAGGGCCTTTCTGAGTGGAGTTTGCATGTTCTCCCCGTGTCTGCGTAGGTTTCCTCCGGGTACTCCGGTTTCCCCTACCACTAAAAATATGTCCAATAGTTCTGGCATGTGCCTCCTGTACTGGCCCCGCTCCCATCTCTGTGTGGAGTGACAGACAAATGCCCAAAATTAACAATTGTAAACCGCTTTGAGACTCAGATCTGCAGTGAAAAGGCGGTATATAAATAAAAAACTTACTTACTTACTTACTAATCTGTGTTGGCATTTTCAGCGGTTTTGCAAGGTCCTCTGAGATAACTACTGTTTTGATTTAGGGATATACATGTAACAATTTGCCTAACTTTTCAAGACACCAGAGCTACAACGCTTTAAAAGGGTCGCGAGAGGAGGTGTCACATCAGCAGGGGTGAAATAAGCACAGATACCGAACATGCATTTGGCACAAGACTGGCTATTTATTACTGATCCCAGTCAACTCACACTGCGCCAACACCCCCCCACGCTCGAGCGCGACCCCACACAACAAAACATAATACGATCACAAATAGCCACTAAGAACTCAATATGTGGAAACAAAAAGAAAGAGTCAGTGTCAGTGGTGAAGCCACGGTGTACTCACGGCCCCGCGCATGCACCAAGGTTCACAAAGCCGGGTCCTGGAGCCCACCAGCAACCATGGAGAGATAATCCACAGTCTCGTTTGATCCCTCTGCACACGGTAATCCAACAGAACGATACTCCAACAGAGATTATAATCCACAAAAACTCCAGGTAGAGGTGTTGGCCTGACTCCAAGTCGGCGTCTGACGTCAGAACACGCGCGCCCCCGCGCTCGTGCCCGTCACTCCTAAATAGAGTCCCCAAGTGCGCCACCAATGGCAAAACAATAATAGCTCCAGTACCTGGAGACTTATGAAACAAAACACAACACAGACCTGGTACACAAAATTGGTTGAAAAATACAGAATGTCACCCCTCCTGAGTGACACTAAGGTAAGGACCTACGCGGGCGCTACATACATTTACTTGAATACATTTAATTGAATTGAATGTAATCATGTATTAAGCTTAAAAATTACTAAAGATGGTTATTCCAGGGGTGGGGACTGTTATAAATATTAAATATTAGGGCCGGGACTTTAACGCGTTAATTAAGATTAATTAACGCACAAAAAATTGCCTGTTAAATTTTTTTACCATTTTAATTGTATGGGTTTTTGCACCGCGGAACGTTCCTCACTGGATGAGTTTCAGACGGACCGATTGTACTGGAGCACCAAATCGAGCTCCGTGACTTTTTATGGTCAAAAGCACATTATAACAAGCATAGACCAACTTTAGCGGTGTCTAAATCTGAGTGAGTTAGAGACTGGAAAGAGCGCTGTGTATGGAGCTATGGACTGTGTGAGGAGGAGGAGCAGCGAGCGACTCCTGTGTGTGAGCAGAGGCGAAGAAGGAGGCGAAGGAGGAGGAGGCGAAGGAGGAGGAGGCGAAGGAGGAGGAGGCGAAGGAGGAGGAGGAGGAGGCGAAGGAGGGAGGAGGAGGAGGCGGAGGAGGCGAAGGAGGAGGAGGCGAAGGAGGAGGAGGCGAAGGAGGAGGAGGCGAAGGAGGAGGAGGAGGAGGCGAAGGAGGAGGCGAAAGAGGAGGAGGCGAAGGAAGAGGAGGCGAAGGAGGAGGAGGAGGAGGAGGCGAAGGAGGAGGAGGATGAGGAGGAGGAGGAGGAGCAGCGACACAGGTGTGTGAGCTGCTATTGCTGATGTTTTAGTTTGATTGTACACATCAAAAACGTATTCTAAAAGCTTTAGCAAACAGCCCATGTCCTGCTTCAGTGCTCACTGCGAGTGCAGTGGATTTTGGTTATAAAAAGCGTATGTTGTTGTCAGAGAGTGTGGAAGCAATGACAGAAACGTTATTTGATGTGAAAGAAGTCCGTCTGATCCCCTTTTCATCCTCAATGAACATGTGTTGCTTAAGCATTCAGTCATTATTCAATTGTAAACTAAAAATCCATGTGAAAAAAATTACTTCTCAGGTCAAATAATATGCGATTAAAATGCGGTTAATTAATCACAAAGCCTCTAATTAATTAGATTAATTGTTTTAATCGAGTCCCAGCCCTATAAAATATACATAATATTTAGAAAAAAAATTATATGAATTAGATACTAAGAGACTTCTGTGCCACCATGTTTGCCTTCTGTGGGCTTTTTCAAAATGGCTGCAGGGGTAGAAAAATGTTAATCTAAATCGGGTAATTATCTTTCCGGGTACACCCCCAGCAACTATAGGAATGAGATTGAAAGCATATCAGCGTACGTGTTCATGGACCTTTTGGAGCCGGGACCTGCCCCTAACTGGTCTCATCACTTTAACAACACACAGACACTTGTTTCCCTTTGATTAGTGTAAAAATTGCCAGAACACATGTCAAAAAAAGAAACTGATGCAGTGGTTTGACCTGTTTATTTTACAGTTTTCAGAAAAAGTGCTAGGTTACAGAGCTTTTTAATAAGACGCCTACCCAGAGGTCTTAAACTAGTCCAAACAAGATTGATAAAACAAAGGTACACCATGACCTTAAAGATCTGACCCCTGGAATATTGTGTCTCACTTTTCTCCCTAAGTATGATTCGTGAAGGCCACAGAGAAAGACCAGAGAAAGACCAGAGAGGGAACGGAGAGAGACCAGAGAGAGACCAGCGAGATATCAGAGAGAGATAGAGCAGAAAGAAAGAGACCAGAGAGAGATGGAGCAGAAAGAAAGAGACCAGAGAGAGATAGAGCAGAAAGAAAGAGACCAGAGAGAGAGAGAGAGCAGAAAGAAAGAGACCAGAGAGAGAGAGAGAGAGCAGAAAGATACCAGAGAGAGACTGGAGAGAGAGATATCAGAGAGAGATAGAGCAGAAAAAGATCTACCAGAGAGAGACCAGAGAGTGAGAGACCAGAGAGAGACCAGAGAGAGACCAGAGAGAGAGAGACCAGAGAGAGACCAGAGAGAGACCAGAGAGAGAGAGAGACCAGAGAGAGACCAGAGAGAGACCAGAGAGAGAGAGACCAGAGAGAGACCAGAGAGAGACCAGAGAGAGAGAGACCAGAGAGAGACCAGAGACAGACCAGAGAGAGACCAGAGAGAGATCAGAGATAGAGAGACCAGAGAGAGACCAGAGAGAGATCAGAGAGAGACCAGAGAGAGATCAGAGAGAGACCAGAGACAGACCAGAGAGAGACCAGAGAGAGACCAGAAAGAGCCCAGATAGACACTAGCGAGAGACCAGAAAGAGACCAGAAAGAGACTAGAGAGAGACTAGAGAGAGAGCAGAGAGAGAGAGCAGAGAGAGACCAGAGAGAGACCAGATAGACACTAGAGAGAGACTAGAGAGAGACCAGAAAGAGACCTGATAGACACCAGAGAGAGACTAGTGACCCACACATTATCTTTCCAGATGAAATACAACAATTACACATGCAAACAAGTGACAACACATTTGACCATTTTGAACTTATAAAAACATGAAACATTCTTCCCGTACCGAAAAGAGGCACCGGAGGCTTTTTTTGCACCGAGCTGAGACGGACCTTCTGTTGGTTATAATGAGCGAAAAGATGTTATCCCGACCGGCTCCGCAGACAGCTTCAGCCGCGGGCCTATTTAATGGTGACTAATGTTTTTTTTTTTTCATTTTCTCTCCAACTCCCTGTACGCTCACCGTGCCGCCAAATCCTTCGCGCTCAGGTCACAAAGCGAGCGAGCGACCCCTTCTGTAGTCCGGTTTGAGGCCGTATGTAAAGGCTCTGTGTGTTGCTCCCTTCTCTGAGGCCGGGTCAGAGACGATGCTGCCCGCTTGACCCTGAACTGGAACGGGTCATGATTTCAATCGCAAGACCCCCCCGTTGATGCGCCATGCCCGGGGGGAAAAAAAAACATGGTCTCCTGCCGACAGTGTAATGACGTTTGCTTTCAGAGCCGGTGGTTGTTTGAGAGAATGCGACTTTGAAATTTATAGTTAAAAAGGAGAGATTGTTTTATGTCTGTTTGCTTCTCAATAGCACATGGTCTTTGAAGGGAAATAGCATCAAATATTTCTGTTTTAAGTATAAAGGTAAATGGAAGAGGCTCATATTTTGTCATTAGATGCATGAATCATGTCTGTGTCCCTCACTTTTATAAACCAGCCTCAGAACAGCGGTAAGTAAGTACCGTCATCTTGGGTCTATCAGGCGATACTTTAGTCAAGTGCCTCGATTCCTAAGGGTTTAGAAAAGCAAGATGTCTTTTCTTAGCATGTTAGTGTGCAACAACAGCCACTGTAGCTCGAGACAGATATATTTTGCATCAGATTATAGCTACACAGATCCATTTCCATCTGCAGTTCACAGTTGCATCAATCAATAAATCAATCTTTTTTTATTTTGAATGCCGTTGTCAAATCCAGTGTCATGGCAGTTCATAATGCATTCAAAAAAAAGCTTATTTGCACACTCTGTACTTTTATGCTCATTTGAAAACAAACAACAAAATGATAATAGATAAAAAAATATGAGAAGCAATAGAAAATCACACAAAAAATTACAAGGAAAAACAAAAAAATGACAACAAGAAAGTTCGAAAGGGACTGGGAAGAAGTAAAAACATGAGAAAACAATATCTATCAATTAATTATTTGTAGAGCGCCTTTCTTACACAAGGCAACACAAAGCGCCTCACAACCTGTATCACATCCGGCATAAATCGTAAACATTGATTAAAAATAACAACTTAATCATTAAAAAACCACTTTAATCATAAAAAATACATTACAAGAAAATTAAAAACATAAAAAAATGAAATCACACACATAGTTAAACATAAACATTAAAAATCCTAAATAGCCACAGTGCACCTAAAAGAGTAAAAATAAAATCAAACGAAGGTAGGTTAGCAGGTTTTCCCGACGTTGCTAACTGAAGTACAGCTGATGAGTGAGCAACCTTCCTTTGTTTTGTATAATCCTTGTATGACTCAGAGCTTACACATATTTAACATAAAATCAAAATACACACAAACTCACACACACACTTGAATTAGCGGCCCAACGTCCCGGGTCTTTCACTTCCTTTAAGATCCCTACCGCACCCGTCGCTCCCCCCTGTCCAGTCCCACTGATGTCTGATTGTACTTTACCTTAAACCTCTATAATGTGACTTTACAAACTGCATTCCCGTACCCGAGCGCGTCTCTTGTGCTCTACTCATTAGCAAGGCAAGGCAAATTTAATTGTATAGCACAATTCATACACAAGGCAACTCAAAGTGCTGAACAAAACCAGATAAAAACATTGATCCACCCGCAAACTGATCTACACAGCTGTTGGATTTCGACACACCTTTCGTCTTTGGCTTCGGGTAGCAACAAAAAAGTTAGTTTTTGTATATACTGCAAAAAAGTGATGAAAAATTATTCAAAAATTGCTCAAATTTGGGAAAAAATCTTAGAAATCTTTGGAATAATGATATTACTTTTTAGCTGATTTGGCCGGCTTTCAAAAAATATTTGCTAATGGGACACACAAAATTATATTGTTTTAAAAAGACGCAAAAATCGTCTACGAAACAGCTCTTGAAATATAACAGTCTGAATGTACTTGAATTAAGATGAAAAACCCTTAATTTAAGCATTTAGTACCTCATATTTTATATTTTTTTCATTGTATACTGTACATACTGTATTTGTGGGATTTCTATGTGTTTTATTCTTGCTGTTTTTCACTTACAGCACTTTGGAAAGCCTAGACCATTTTATAATATGCTTTACAAAGGATATAAATGTTCACCCTGAACCAAATTAGACTTTTTTTCCACACACAGGCTATCGGAAATCTCACAATTAGATAAATTAATTCTACAAAATCAGCCCGACTATCGACCTTTCTCAAACAAATCATGGCGTAGCGACACTGGAGGTGACTGGACTCATCAAACTGAGCCTCAGGACGAGTGCGCAGCCTTATTATCTGACAACGCTTTTATCCACCACACTGCACCATTTACCCTCTAATAGAGCAGAACCAGCAGCCGCCTTCCGCTCGTCAGCCGTTCTCCTGATTGCCAATTTCATCACAACATTATTAGTCCGCACCACAGAACGTGCTCCGACAAAAGAAAGTGTTGTATCTGTAAATGGTATGTGATTTAAGGGAGTATTTTAGGATATACATGTATTTCAATGTAATAATACTGTACTGTCTGTCCGTCGGAGCGGAACCCTGTCTCAAATTTCTCACACATTTCCCACTTTTTGTCGTTGTCATTACCGCAGATTGAAGAGGATCTAAGGACAGCGATGATCCGGGACATTTATGGACATTTCTGGAAGTGGTCGTCTTGCTCCCGGTTGACCAATGGCTCCTACTGTATGTGTTTGTTATTAATGATGGCACTGTGTTTCTGATCTGTCGTTGGTAAAACGACAACTTTGTATATTCCTGTTGTTGTGATTTAGGCCTATACGAAATACATTGAATTGAATTGTTTTTCACTTGGCACTGTAATATCCTCTAAAAACATGTATTTCTTCACAACAGATCAATTTAAAACAGTCCTTCACTCTTAAGATTTGCAGGAGAATTATTGGCTCAATGGTGAGGGACCTCAGCTGTCCATCGAGGATTTGAATTCACAGCGTCCAATCAGGTGGTGGTCAGAGGGATATGAAAACAGATAATGGTTGCCTGGCTTCAGGGCAACTGTGGCTACAATCAAAGTCTCACCACTGTGGAGTGAATGAATAATGTGAAGCGTCTGAGTGTCCAAAAAACCATCATCTAAAACCCACAGATTTGTATTCGAGTTTTTGATTAAAACCCAGGATCCTTTGTCTGAGGAAGTGAGAGCGTTAACCACTCAGCCACCGTACCGCCCGTTTTTTTCCTAAAGGACATTAATTAAAGAAAGAACAAAATGTATTAATTGAAAGACAAAAAACTTATCTTACATAATTTTTGTCTTTGCCAGAGCATGTATGAACAATGCAGACGGCACATTACATTAAACAGCCCCTATCATGGCACCCGGTCATTTAGAGCCCGCTTTGAAATGAGGTCACAGTGATAAAGAATGTGTCTGCAAATGGAACGGCAGGCAGATAATCACTTAAGCCTTTTGCTGCCACTCAGAAGTCATCGATTGGTGTAAGAAATGTAGTGGCAGACGTTACAATGGCCCCTGAGACCTTGTTAACGCCATTGTAAGCAACGTCAAAGTCACAAACTAGGAATTTGCTTTGGCTCATGGTGCAAGCAAGTTCATTGTTTATTTGCAAAAGTGAGAGGCAAGAGTCAGAACCAGAGCTCTAACCAGGGGACACAGTAATGTACGAAGGCGCAGGACTAAATCTAGCCAAATGGTGGTGCCCATCAGAGGCCCAACATTATGGAACACTTTGCCGGAACACATACGTAACTGTGGGACCTAACATTTAAAGGAGGCCTGAAAAATTAAATCAAACCAGTCACGTTCCCATTGAGGTAGTTCTGCTTTTTCTTTCTCTTCTTTTTGGATTTCTTTACGTTGTGATTGTCGAGATATTGTTTGTACTGTAGCCTAACTGTGTGTTTGTGTGTTTTTACCTGCCTTCGGACAATGGATGCAATTTCGCTATTGGGCTATTTCTAGCATATTTATGTTGACGCTGTTTACGGACACATTGATTAATATATACTGTCCTAAATTTGAATAATAATAAATTTAGGATGAACAAGGACATACAAACACATTTTTTTTCAGAGTCCATTGCAGATTATTTCATACATTGTAATTAATATAAACCTCAGCCCTGACTGCAGATTATAATGTTTCAAAAATGTGTCCATCGTATGCTAGCAGTGTCCTTTAGCCTTCCGTATTTTTCGTTCATTGAGTCGTCCCGCGCCCTCCCTTTTGGGAAACACTGTCATAGCCCAAGCACCAGCAGGTGTCTGGCTCTCTGCTTATACTCTACTATACTCTCTTCGGGTTCTAGGGTTCCTTTCTTGTTGATCCTTGCCGTGTGAATGTCTGTGTGTGTTGTTTACAAGGGGCCTTCATTACACTGTTATGTTGTTTTTATGCTTTTTTTTTTGGGTCGTGTATAAATCCCTGTACTCCTGGATTTAAGGGAATTAATGTTTTTTCTTACTGTCTGAACATCAATCACAGGAGAGCTCATCACCAGCAGCTGTTCCACCTCTGCGACTGTGACCTGTCCAGCACTTTAATAATATTACTAGTAACTTTTAGAACTATGTATGCATTTGTTTGAAGAGACGGACGTGTTTCTGAAGCTGGACACCTGAATTTATACCGTGGGATCGATAAAGTATCTATCTATCTATAGAAGATAGATAGATAGATACTTTATTGATACTTTCTTGATCCCGACGAAGATGATGCTACAGGCCGAGAGCAAAAATAATGTAAACAGCCAAGAGCTGTAATACAATCAAAGTGTGGGTGTATTCACTAGTAAATGTGCACATATACAATGAATCACAGAACCGATACCAATACCACCTGGCAGCCGTCTGAAACCGTCTGCCACAAATGATGAAATTACGGACATTAACTAGTCCAGTAACACATATGTACTCAGTACATGTAAGTCAGTATTGATAAATGTCGCTCAAGGCTTCTCTTTGCCTTATGCTGATACAACTCTGATACTTGTAATAAACTGCTTTGACCTGAACAAATATATTGCCTAAGACATGTAGAAACCTGTCTCTCATCCATCAGCTGACCTTAATGCCAACAGACCATATGTGCTGTATTTGAATCCAGAGTTAATAACTTACGCTTATATCTATTTGATGGTAATGCAGACTGCTTTACTAAAAGATTTCGATACCACAATCATGTTTTTTGTTTTTGGAGTTTTACTTGAGTATTGTCGTTTTTTTTCTCCAGTCAGTGTCAATACTTTTACTTGAAATTTGTCATCAGCTGTCATGAGATTGTCATTCTTGTAAATACCAAATGTGAACGCTTGACACTACTCGAAGAAGACCCGAGAGGGGTTCAAACGCGCTATGTCCTGTAAGGATAAAGGATTTTTATTTGAAATTCAGAGTGCCTCACAGTGACAGTACTCAGTTGGTAGAGCATTGGCCTTAAGCCCAGAAGGTCGTGGGTTCAATTCCCACCTCTGCACCTTCTCCACCGACTCCCACTGATGACTGCTGTCGCTGTGTCCTTGGGCAAGACACTTAACCCCACTTTGCCCAAAGCCCCCACTGAAAGATCAAGGCTATGCTCACACTCAGAGAGCAGCCGTCCTCCTGTGGACTCACCACCTGCAGAGGATCAGTGAGGGGCTGGTGCTATGAGACTTGGGTGGCATCTCTGACTGCCACCCCCCTGACCCAGAAATGGATTAAAGGGTAGAAAATGGATGGATGGATGGAGTGCCTCACATCATTTCCTCTTTGTTCTCCACCTTATTTTTTCCCACTGATCTTTGAAGAACACTTGATCTCTCCCATTTGCCCTACATTTTTTGAGTCCCCAGGGATCCTGTGCAGTGGTAACAGTGGAGATGATTGTGGACTTCCGGAAGAGCACTGCCCCCCCGCCCCCACCCTCAGTGATGGCCTCCCCCATCACCTCTGTGAAGTCCTTCCGTTTCCTGGGCACCACCATCACCCAGGACCTCAAGTGGGAGCCGACCATCAGCTCCCTCATCAAGAAGGCCCAGCAGAGGATGTACTTCCTGCGGCAGCTCAGGAAAGCCAAGCTGCCTGCACAGATGTTGGTGCAGTTCTACACAGCCATCATCGAGTCCATCCTCACCTCCTCCATCACCGTGTGGTTCGCTGGAGCCACAGTCAGGGACAAACAGAGACTACAGCGCATTGTGCGCTCTGCAGAGGAAGTGATCGGCCGCAGCCTTCCATCGCTGCAGGACCTGTACGTCGCCCGAGCTCGAGGCCGGGCTGGTCGTATCACAGCCGACCCCTCTCACCCTGCACATGGACTATTCCAACCACTCCCCTCAGGCAGGAGGCTGCGGTCCATCAGGACTAGAACCTCCCGCCACAAGAACAGTTTCTTCCCCTCTGCTGTTGGACTCTTGAACACTTCTTAACCTGTCCCCCCGCCCTTTATAAAGTCACTTTACTGCCCATCATACATCACTTTACTTCACTGTACTGCTGTCACCTTACATTGTGTGCACCATGTGCACTTGTATATTGTAAATAGTAACTGTAACTCTATTTTAAATTTAAATTTATTCCTCAGAAGTGTTTTTTATTCTTTATTTTTTATTATCTCTTTCTGACTGTTGCACTGAGCCAAAGCAATTTCCAAGTCTGTGACTTCCTGTTATTAAATTAAATTATTCTGATTCTGATTTTGATCTCAGCCGTGTGCGAATGAGACCACACCCACTCGAATGATTGCAGCTTTTTACGCTCTATTTCTATGTCTATTTCACACAGATTCAGGATCACAGACATGAGACAGAGCAGTAGCCAGGACCAAGGAGTGAGTGTGTAGATTAAAGTACAAAACAAATTAAGTTAATGACTGGATTTCAAACAGGTATAGCATGATTATATTGGTGGAGCTGAAGTTGGCTGGATGACACTGTGATAGTGCCTCAATGGCGAACATGTATGGGGCCCACTGCATTGCTAACACAAACACATAGGGCTGCATTTGGTTTTAGTTTGGACATGCCTGATCTGGAATGAGACGTCGCAAATAGGGGACCACGTTCGGTCCAGCCCCAGTGGGGGCGGGTCCCGGCTCAAAAGTGGCCAAAATGATTTCCTCTGACATGCTTGCACCCCGGGCCGATGGGGGTGGACCCGGAATAAGAATAAGCCAATGCTAACATATAGCATCTTCTTACCTCTCGAAAACGTCTTTACAAGATGGTCCAAAAGTTGGCTCTTGGCCCAAAGCTCCGTTCCACATGTGTGTCAATGCTGAGGGGAGTGTTTTGGTCCACTCTAGTTTACTCGCTGTGAATTTTTGAAGTCTCTCGTTCAAATGAATGGAGCTTGCGCCAGCTGACGCATGCGCCGATGTGTTTTATAACATTTTTTTGTGGGCGGCCATTTTGATTAGCTCCAGTAGAGCAAATTTTTTGGCCCATTAGTTAGAACGGCGGAGATAGGCGTGACTATGTCCGTTAATTTTTACAGTCTATGTTTAGCCCTAATAAAGAAGGTTTTCACAACGCCAAAAGAAGAGGTCTAGGTCCACTCTTTAAAAGAAAACAACAAACCTTTATTCAACCAGCAAAGTCCCAGTGAGATTTTAGAATTTTTTTTGGCCCCAGAGAGAGGGGAGCTATTGCGGATATTTGTAGAGGCAGGGCTAACCCAGAGCGCCCAGAGAACCTGCACAGACATAACTCATTTATTCAGACTGGCTTTAACACTTTAAACACTCATTAGCATGTTGACACTTTTTAAATGCGTTTTAACTTCTATTTTTCTCTTGATTGTATGTATTTTTTAATGGATTTTCTATTTCTATGAATAACATTTGATTGATTTGTTTTGATAGGGAGAACATGAAAATCACGCTCAGAGTGGCCCTGTCTGGAGGTGGAATCAAACCCAGGACCTTCTTGCTAGTATCTCAGCCGCATGTTTGGTTTTCGTGTGACTCCGCACACTGCTCATCCATTTAAACAACTAAAATTTCTACTTTTCAGTTTGAAACATTTTGTTTTTACAGGTTTTACACAGATGTCTGAAGAGCCCACTGCAAAATCTATTATTTTATTTCATTTTGGCAGGTCACATTGAAGGATTTTGCCTTTGTTGGTGCGAACGGCTTTATTTTTACAAGCTCATGTTTTAGTTTGTAAGAGGACTACACAAATCCAACTCAAAGACTAACCCTTGCCCATAGTCTGTAGATGGGTGGTCTAAACATGGACAACAATGTTTGCAGCTCAATGAAGCCAAAGTGGTCATGGACAAGGTTTAGGTCAGGGGTGCTGAAAGTGAGGCCCGCGGGCCAAATTTGGCACACCAAACTATTCCAATTGGCCCACCAATAAAAGTCCACCCTTGAAGAAAGTTTCAGTCTACATCCTGCAGAAACGCTGTACATACACGCCCATGTCTGAGGTCACCCAGACACTTACAGGTCCTTCTCAATGATGCAGTCCAGTACTTTACTGTTGTTTCGAGATGCAGGCCTCACTCATGGTTCACATCAACTTGCATCAAACACACTTATCAAAACAATTGGGTGCAAGGCACCTTTATGTTCATGTTCAATTTTGTATTTTATCAATTAGATGGAATCCCCCATGAGCCATTTTTGATGTGATGTACCTACTTTAAGTAGTATTCTAATGTCAAATGTTTGGTTTTGCTACTAATTTAAAGTTAAAAGTTTATGCTATTGCTGGGTTAGTATTAGTTAGGTCTATTGTGCATCTGACCAACTGCCACTGCGTCTTGTGCCAAAATTAAAGGGCCTATCTGTAACTTTTTAGGAGCGCCCAAATAAGTGCTGTATTTTTCTAATATTGCGTTGTAGACCCAATTTATAGCTGTTATATGATTATAGTATATGTCTTGTTGCTAAGCACAGTCACTCATTGTATATTTGTCTGTTCTTTATTGCAGAACACACACACACGATTAAAACCTGTAAATAAGCCACGACAGAAATCCCCCTCCTCTGGACCCTGATTCTCTGCCCGGAATCTTTCTGTACTGTTGCCGCCTCAAACCAGCATATTTTTCTTGAGCCTCCCCTTCACTAAGAGTGTGTTGCTTTCATTCATTCAGCTGTGATTAGCACTGATAGACATCAATTAATGCATTTAAAGATTCAAAAAAAATTCAAGGAACTTGGTCAAATTTACATTTATTTGTGTTTCACGTGTACTATCGGTGTATTTGGCAAATTTTTACTTTGGTCCTTGGATGCAAAAGGTTTGGGCACCCCTGTTTTTTTTTTTTTGTAATCCTATTTGTAGAAGTAAGCACTTAACTGAACTTTTGTTTTATTTTTTACAAATACTGAATGGCTGTTGTCCATGTAGCTCCAAAGCCGTGAAAATGCTGTGCTTATAGGTTCTCAGGATTAAGTTCCAGGGTGAGGGGGGAAAAAACACTCACTTATTTACTCACTCAGTCCATCTGCTGAAAAGGCCTGAGGTGCAGATGTATTAAGAGAATGGAATCTGCACTTGGTACTTTGGTTTTAGCAGGTGGACAAAAGACAAAACGGGGCGGAGCGGTGGCTAAGTGGATAGCACTCTCGCCTCTCAGCAAGAAGGTCCTGGGTTCGAATCCCGGTTGGACCAGGGCCTTTCTGAGTGGAGTTTGCATGTTCTCCCTGTGTCTGCGTAGGTTTCCTTCGGGTGCTCCGGTTTCCCCTACCACTAAAAATATGTACAATAGGTCTAGCACGTGCCTCCTGTACTGGCACCCACACTCCCAAAAAAAAAACAATTGTAAACCGCTTTGAGACGCCGATGTGCAGTGAAAAGGTGGTATATAAATAAAGATTACTTACTACTACTACTTACTACTGAAGACGTCTCTCTATATATATATATCGCTTGTGACACCAATATTTTCTCAATTTCCATTATCTATTTTTGTGGTTCAAACTAGACTCTTGTGCACCCCGGAGCTGGACATTGAATTGTTACTTTATCTGGAAAGTTATTTTTACTTGAGTACCTACACCATATAGAGATATTTTATGCAATTGTCACTCCGGTGTTTTGATTATTAAAACAAGTGTGACATTTCATCCCATGCTATCCTCAAAATCTCTCCAATCTCCTGAATAATAAATCTCAAGCCAAAACTCTGAGTGCAGAGAACACACTCGTGAAGTGCAGTTTGACTTTGTCCACAGCTCCAGGACGTTGGAAGAGGACGACGGCTGCAGCAGTGAGACCCAGGACCGCAGCCGCAGTCGCCCAGGCTCGGAGGGGCGTGTTTCCTGCTGGAGTGGCTGGTTGTGGAGGGTCCTTGGGTTCATAGCTCTGTCTCACCTCCTCCCTCTCCTCTGCGCTCAGACTGGACGGGCTGAGTTCACAGAGGACTTCCATGGCCGCCCTCTGCCCGGACTGCACCGCCCCGCTCATGTAGCCACACCATAGGGTCGCCGTCTCGGTACCGGCCCAGTGGATCCTGAATGTGGAGAGCAGGGTGTTATGTAAAAGGAGAGTATTTGGCGATTTTGAGCATAGAGACAATTTTCAGGGCACTACATTGTACTTCAGTTAACGTTTTACGAACAAATACAAAATATGACGGACACATACTTACTGACTATGCACAAAAACCTTTCATATTATGTGAATACTTCCCCAAAAAGCTACTTCTGAGTATTTCTTTTGTCACAGTAGCACAAAGGGCCTTTGGGGAAGTGTAAAATTAGGTCTTGATGAAGTGGAGGAGTTTAGGTATCTCGGGGTCTTGTTTCCGAGTGAGGGAAGGATGGAGCGTGAGATTGATGGACGGATCAGAAATATCGGACTGTCGTGGTGAAGAGGGAGCAGCGTCTGCATTCAGAGCTTGTGCTGAAGAGGGTGCTGAGCCATAAGGCAAAGTGAGAAGCGTTTCCTCCACCAAGTGACTGGCCGCTTCCTGAAAGATAGCGCAAGAAACTCAGTCGCAAATGGAGCTCGGAGTAGAGCTACTGCTTCTCTACGTCGAGAGGAGCCAGTTGACGTGGCTCGACCATCTTTTTCAAATGCATCCTGGACACCTCCCTAAATGAATATTCTGGAGGTGAAAAACCAGGAGACTCTGGAAGGGATTGTCTCTCAGGATTCCCCTGGATAGGCTGGAGGGAGTCTGGGTGTCTCTGTTCAGACTGAGGCCCTCACAACCCAGCAATGGACAAAGGGGAAGAAAATGGATGGATGGACTGGCCTTCCAAACAGTTTGTGAAAAATGTCATACAATTGGAATTGAAAAAGTGCACTTGTAAATATCCACAGGCAGTTACTGGCAAAGCTGTGAATTTGAGATTTTGGAAGTGAAAACCACCGAGCAGAGGAGCAGATGTTCTGCTCTGTAGCTCTGAGTAAGTCCAGGGAACATTTTCTTCTGCCAAAAAGGGTCTGGAAAGATAGATAGATAGAGATGTGTCTTCTTAAAGGCACAGCAAGGGATACTGAGAAAGTGAAGAAGAAAATAATGAATGGACAAAATAATCACTATCCATCAACGCTGTGATTTTCCCATCACACATCACGCAGTGGTGCAGAACTTATTACACTATTTGAAAAACAAAATCAAATGTACAATTTTTCTCTTTTCTCCAGTGAGATGTTTTTTCCATGTCATATTTAATTAGAGTACAAACAATAATCCACCACAAAAAGTGTTTTGCTCGTTCTTTTCCATCTTGTGTTCCAATGACACCTGCTTAATATGTTTTGTACTTTTCACATTGAACATGAAAGAAATTCTCAAGATCTTTTAAAAATGTATTTGTTCTTTAAAGATCATAAATATATTCCATCTTACAAAAGCAATAGACCAATACGAAATTCCACTTGCATAGACCATGGACTCAGAGAGACCAGCGCGGACCCGTATGGATCCAGGAGGGTGCAGCCCGGACCCGTATGGAGAGACCAGTGCAAACCCGTCTAGATCCATGGGAGAGACCAGTGCAGACCCCTATGGATCCATGGGAGAGACCAGCGCAGGGACTCAGCGCTGACCCCGCAACCTCCTGCAGCAGCAGTATATATGCCGTTGTTCTGTGGCCCATGGATAAAGAAATGCCCCCTATAAATAGGATGGGGTCACTAATACACGGCAAGATTTCCAATGTATTTGATAAAGCGTTGGCACATTTCATTTCAAAATGAATAAAAAAATAGGCTAAATTACCATAAATAAATACATACATCAATATGACGGAAATATCAATGTAATGTTGTGTTTTATTGAACTTTATAACACCAGCGTGCGAACATGTCGGCACTGAATGTGCGTACGAGTGCTCCTGAGCATTCGTAGGATTTGTACGTACCCAAGAGAAATTCTGGATATGAGAAAATTTCATGAATGCCACAATCTTCGTATAATCTTCGTATGTAGGATTTACGCACAAATTTGTTCTTAAGTACGGTTCGTGAATGAGGCCGACTGTCTAGAGACCCTCTCCTCATCTGACCGATATACTGGCACATTAAAACTTATTGTAAAGCAGTGGTTTTTTTCAGGATATCTACTACATAATTCAATTTACTCATTCATCTTGACAATGATGAAAATACAGCTATACTTAGATGGATCTTTCTCTTTTATTTAATCTACCAAACAGGAGGATGCACAAAAGAGAGAGTGCCGGAGGGCCGAGGGGAAGTGGCGCAAGTCCAGCCTCCAGGTTGATTACGAGATCTTCAAAGATACGTTGTGCGAGTTTAACCGTAGTACGAGAGAAAGGTATTTTTCTGAAATGATTGAAGGCTGCAGCAACAATCTGCGTGTTCTGTTCTCAACAGTTAATAGATTAACAAACCCCCCTGTTCAGATGCCATTAAAGCTTACTTCCAAACGTAAATGCAATGAGTTTGCACATTTTTTCAATGACAAGGTTCAAGCATCAAAAACGCCATTGTCTCCAATCCACAGATAACTATCCAACAGCCAGAACGGCTCTCTGAGCCAACTCACTTTGCACCTGTAAATGATCAAACAAGAACAAGAAATAATCTCCAGTCTGAGCTCCTCCACATGCAGCTTGGATGTACTACCCACTAGATTTCTGAAGTCTGTTCTGAGCAGTCTGTTACCTTCACTCACACAGATAGTAAACATGTCCCTTCACTCGGAATATTCCCAAAGGCCTTGAAAACTGCAGTCATCAGGCCCCTGCTAAAAAAGAGCAGTCTGGATGCCACAGTACTTAACAACTATCGTCCCATCTCAAATCTGCCATTTATGGGGAAAGTCCTTGAGAAAGTTGTCTACCTACAGCTTACTAGATTTCTTATAATCAACAACTCATTTGATATGTTTCAGTCCGGCTTTAGACCCCACCACAGCACTGAGACTGCTCTCGTCAAGGTTACAAACAATATTCGGCTGAACACTGACGCAGGCAAAGTCTCAATCTTAATCTTAATCTTTGACACTGTCGACCATGAGATCCTCTTACAGAGATTAGAGGACTGGGTTGGCGTCGCTGGCACCGCCCTAAGTTGGTTTAGGTCTTACCTTGAAGACAGGGAGTACTTTGTGGAGATTGGAAACTGTGTCTCAGATCATATGGCCCTGACCTGTGGAGTACCACAGGGGTCGATCCTGGGACCTCTTCTGTTCAATCTCTACATGCTGCCGTTAGGTCAGTTAATACGCAGAAACGAAGTGTCCTATCACAACTATGCAGACGACACTCAGATCTATGTCTCACTGACTGCAGGAGAACATGGACCAGTGGACTCACTCCTTCACTGTATCCAACAGATCAGTGAGTGGATGCAAAACAACTTCCTTCAGCTAAACGCAGACAAAACTGAAATGTTTGTCTTTGGTCCCCAGAAACAAAGAGAGAGCGTCATCTGTCACCTACAGTCTCTCTCCCTAAAACCTTCAAACAAGGTCAGAAATCTAGGGGTAATACTGGACTCAGACTTAAATTTTAATATCCACATCAAATCAGTAACATCAGCAGCTTTTTACCATCTAAAAAACATTGCCAGGATCAAAAACATAGTGTCTAAAGCAGACTTGGAGATTCTTATCCATGCATTTGTCTCCAGTAGGTTAGACTACTGCAATGGCCTGCTCACAGGTCTGTCCAAACAGGCTGTAAAACAGCTGCAGTACATTCAAAATGCAGCAGCTCGAGTCCTGACTAGAACCAGGAAGTACGACCACATTAGTCCAGTTCTCAGGTCTCTGCACTGGCTTCCTGTGGCTCAGAGAATAGACTTGTGTACAAGTCTCTCCATGGCCTCGCACCAAAATATATTAGTGATATGTTAGTCCCATATGAACCAGCTCGGACTCTGAGGAGCACAGGGACTGGACTCCTGTTAGTGCCCAGAGTCAGAACTAAACAATGGGGAGGCTGCTTTTCAGATTCATGCTGCTAAAATCTGGAACAATCTTCCTGAAGATGTGAGACAGGCCTCCTCTCTGACAATGTTTGAAACCAGCTTAAAAACAGTTCTGTTTAGCTGTGCATACAACTGAGGGATTTTATATTTTTATCTTTCTTTTTAATGTTCTGTGATTATTTAGGATTTTAATGCTTTCTTATTTTGTTCAGCACTTTGAATTTCCTTGTGTATGAAGTGTGCTATATAAATAAACTTGCCTTGCCTTGTCTATCTTATCTATCAAACAATAATCCCACAATAAACCTATTTTCAATAAAATAAATATCATTTGTTAAAAACTCCTCCATATTTGAAATGCACACAATATATTTCACAGATACATGAAAATACGAACGATGAACAAACCTGTCCACATCTTGGTGTTCAGGTTTTCTTTTCTTACACACATAATCCCATCATTATTTATCAAGGAATTGTATAATAATCTTTAAACATTTCTTAATAGCTACCTAGCACATTAGCCTTAGCCCCTTCTCCCACTTCATTAATAAAAAAAAAAAAATACTTTATTTGTTTTTTGTTTATGGAATCGGCCACAGGAAACCCATATTGGCCAAGCTCTAATACTGTTTTAGTTAATATTTCAAAAATCTGAACTTAATCATGTAGACTCCTGATATGGAAAACTGCAAAAGACTAATTTTTACCATCACTTTAAAGCACATATCCATGAAGACTCCATGAAGAATAGCACTTAACGAGGAGAAAATATATACTGTATCAACACAAGTCTATGACATCTTCAGCACTCCATGTACTGGTATTATTAGGTCATTAGTAAGTAGTTTTCCAGGTTAATTAGCAGTAAAACCATTTGTCATTGTATAGATGAGTAATGGAAGCCGTCATTGTTGGTTATTCCAGGCCAAGCACAGGGAAAAGCAGGTGGTGTATCGCTTTGGGAAAAGTTACACTGTGCAATAAATTGAAAACATGGATAAATACTTGATTATATGCAGAACATTTTAGACTAGGAGCACATTTTTGATACTGAT